AAACCAATACAGGTTTATTCATTAGTGTTGATGTTCATTTGTGTCTTAAACATTTTACCCCTTTTGGTTAGATATCATGCCTTTGTGAGAACACTTATGCTTTCCAAAATTGTTTCCCCCCCCACATCCCATGTCTTAAATCATTGTTTCATTACAGTACTCCCCTTTTCTTGGCAGAGGTTTCACTAGATTATACTGAATATTTTGTCACATTTCGAATTGCATGTTGTTTCCAGTTTTCTATGGTTATTTCTGGATGCAGGTGTAGAAGTGTGGTCTTGTGTGCCTTTCTGGAATCCCTTTTTCAGTGGAATTTGTCCATTATCTCTGGAGAACTTTTGCTTCTTTGCATCTTGCTCCCCACCATTAAGGCTTCTCATCTCTTTCTTTCTCCCTTGCTTCTTCTTCTCCTTGTCCTCTTTACCCCCTTGTCTCTCCACCTCCCTTTTATTCTGCTTTCCCTCTTTCACCTTATTCTTCTTTTTCGGGGGTTGTTTTTCCAGGCCTTAAAGTCTTCTTCTCCCTTTTCTCTTTCTTTTTTCCTTCCCCAACCAAAGTCACTTGTTCATCAAAGATGGCTTCTTCTTTGCCCCAGTCATTCTGTTGCTCATTCAGCTTTACATAAGTACAAACCGCCATTTCAAAAAATTGGAAAAGAGTGCCAAGGACATCTTTCCTTTCTTGCTTTTCTTTTTCATATTTTTGATATACAAGTTTCAGTCCATCCACACGTGATGCCATTGTGTAGACATCCCTCGTACAATTACAACAATATTTAGGGGCTATTAATTGGACCCATCCCTATTTTGGCATCACTACACACATGCTCAGCCCCCTGTTTGATGCATTAAAGGGAGGAACCACTCCAGGGGATAAAATTACCCTTACAGATCATCAATTAAAAATCACCCAGGACATACAGCACATTATGCAGAAAAGGTGGGTTGACAGATGTCACAACAATGCTCCTATTTCCTTAATCTTGCTCAATACACCTCAGCTACCTACTGCAATTCTTGCTCAAAGTCTCTCTAAACTTCTCATCCTAGAATGGATACATCTGCCTCATTGGGGTAAATCCATTAACCCCAAACCTTTGCTCTTCTCTATACTTATTCACAAAGGGCGTCAACGTTGTAAAGCCCTAATGGCTATTGAACCCTCTGTACTATATGTCCCCATGTCATTGTCCAATTGGGAGGTAATGTTATTGAATTCAGAATCATTACAAATTGTAATGGGAGAATGGCCGGTGACTATTTCCTGCCATCTCTCTGCAGATGACTGGCTTAATTTACTTAAGCTGGTTCCCTTTAATTGGCAATCAATAGAATCCACAGCCCCCATTCCCTCTGCGATCACTATATATGCAGATGGAGGGAAGCAATATGGCACCTGTGCCTGGTTTTCAGAAGGGCAATGGCGCACCAAAGTTACTCAGCCACAATCGTCTGCCCAAAGGGCAGAACTTGCTGCTGCTATATTGGCCTTTCAACATTTTCCCGATCAACCTTTCAATTTAATCTTGGACAGTCTTTATGTCACTTTCATAGTAAAGAATATCTCCGATGCATATCTCTCCCCCACTCTGGACAATGACCTTCTTACTAAATTCATTTCGCTTTAGCAACTCATCTCAACCCGCTCCCACCCTTTCTTTGTTGCTCATATACGTAGTCATCAACCATTTCCCGGCCCATTACAAAAAGGAAATGACAGAGCTGACGCAGCGGCCTCAGCCGCACCCGCTGCTACTATTCTATCCGCTTTTTCTCCCCTAACCCCTTGGGACAGTCATAACTATTTTCATCAAAATAAAAGGGCTCTTATGAAGGAATTCCAAATCACCGCCCAAGAGGCTGCTGCAATTATTCAACAATGCCCTACTTGCTCAGGGACAAGCCATTGTTGAACGACTTAATCAAACCCTTAAAAATAATTTGGAAAAATTCAAAATTAAGACACTTCACAGGGTTGCCAGGACTCCAGAATGCATTAAATGTTTGTTTATTTACTCTTAACTTCCTCAATGAGACCGGATCCCCCCCATGCACGGCGGCATCACGTCATTTCGCTTCTTCGTCTCATCCTGAACTTAGACCTCCAGTCTACTTTCGACAGCTGCCAGATCCCACATGGCATGGACCTGCTGAACTTATAACCTGGGGATGAGGGTACGCTGCTGTTTCCTACAACAACACCATCTGGGTCCCCAGACTACAAGTAAGGCCTTTTCTACCCAAACCAGCCTTGCCTACATCAGCATCATAAAGCTGCCCACTGCATTCATCATTTGCTTCCTGGGTTTCCACATCGTTCCTGCCGATACGACAGCCACCCCATCCTCCTGCGATGCCTGCATCAAAACTACTCGCAGCGGAACGAAAACCCAATTCACCCTGATCTATCATACCTTGAAGCCTGAATGCAACTCCACGACGGTCTCCCCTTGTTTGCATAACAACACTCAATACGCACGATGCTACACCAAACAAGGTATCCAATGCTACGAACCAAAAGCTGTGGGGCCCATCACCGCCTCGCTGTATGTCTATGCCTACAAAGGAGGATCCAGCTCTGGCCTTGCCTCAATGTTCTCAACCAGTCAAGCAAAAAATGGGTACATAACCCATAATGTCACTCGGGGGGAGGGGGGGTACCAACACTTCTGTGTGTTTTGATGCTTGCTTTGCCATCAGCAAAGGCCAAGGTCCTAATGACGCTGCAGGAGTTACCTGCGGCTCACACAGCTGGCAAAGATCTTATCTACAGGAAAAGAAATATCTCTTCCAAAAGGTGTCCGGGCCACCACTGTTTACAACTATTGGTATATCCCCATATATATGCTCAATAGAATTATAAGGTTGCAAGCTGTATTAGAAATTATAACCAATGAAACTGCTCTTGCTTTGAAAACATTAGCTAAAGAAAGTGCATTGTCTAGAACATATATCATGCAAAATCACTTGGCTTTAGATTATCTTCTTGCCAAAGAAGGAGGAGTGTGTGGAAAGTTTAACCTTAGTAATTGTTGTATTGAGTTAGATGATAGTGGAAAAGTTATTCAACAAATTACTGATAGAATGATCAAGATTGCGCATGTACCTGTACAAACATGGAATGGTCTTGATTTTAGAGATATGTTTGGATCCTGGTTCCCAAAATTGCCTGGTTTGCAAGCTATTGTAGCGCTTATTGGTATGATTGCTGCGGGATGTATTATATTGCCTTGTGTATTACCTATCTTTGTACGCACTATTTCTAACAGTTTATCCCTCTTGGCTGAGAAAAAGGCCACTGCACAGGTAATGGCTCTCTGGAATCAACAAATAACTAACACATATGAACCACTGCCATCCGAAGATGAGATGGGAGAGCCAACCTGTGACGATTCAGACAAGGACAAGATGTTTGTGATGGTCGAAGAAGTCATGAACGCCATGGATAACATCAGCATGCACAGCACTCTTGCCTACGTGCCTGACAAAAGCTGTTATTGGGACTAAACACTCCCTGTCTCTTAAAAAAGAAAAACAGAGGAGATGTGGGAATTATTCTTTGTTCTTTGCGTACGTGCAAGGACAACGTGCCTTCTGGTAGTTGACTGCAACACGAAGCAAGGAACAAGGTCAAACTGTTGCCATTTCTTACCCAGAATTGTAGCAAACTTAGACTTTGCAGCTTTGTATGCTTACACGAATAATCAGTGCATTTTGTGTGATGTAATGCATTTGTGACAAGACACTAACAAAATTGTTACAAGGATTGCTTCTAATAAAAGAGGGTGTCAGAATATGTTTTGTGCTCTCATCCCGATCTTGCTTCAAGACGTCGTCTCAGTGTTTTCATTCATGAGAGACCACCAGTGTTTTCATTCATGAGAGACCACCACAGATACCTAGAACAAAACATCGTGAAGTTCTCACTAGACAGTGTTCAAAACTCCTTGACTAATCCAGGATTTGAGTCTTAGACAACTTGCTGAGCTGCTCTGAAGAAAGGAAGGTTTTTGCTTGGCTTCAGACTCATTTCCTCTCACCGTGTCTTCAGCTTTAAGGTTATTCATTTGCAGATACAGCTGGCTTTTGGCATTGTCCCTGGAGATGGTGAAGCGGCCCTTCACCTTGTCTGAGTAGTAAGTGGAAGTTGTAGCTATGCTTGTAACCCATTCCAGTCCTTTCCCTGGAGCCTGTCTCACCCAGCCCATCCAGTAGCTGCTGAAGGTGAAGCCAGAGGCTTGGCAGGAGAGATGGATGGACTCCCCAGGTCTTCTCACATCCCCTCCAGACTCCACCAACTGTACTTGAGTTTGGACTCCTAAAAAGAAATATATTTTAATGAGATCTCCTGCATACAAGAGCAGAACATGGAAATACACTTTACATAGGGGTAATAATTACCTTTGAGGACTGCTAATAAGGACACAAGGTTTAGCCACATGTTTGCTCACTCTACTGAATGGAGTAGTGAGAAGAGATGGTTCAGGAAATAGCACAAGATTTATGTTGGTTGGAGTCATTTGAAAAGGGAAACCATTGGGTTCTTTTAAAGGGGAAATTGTGCCTTGATTTACATATCAGTTGGAATAAAAGAGCTACACAGGGTATTGACTAAAACATTTCTGTGAACATAAATTGCATAATTTGTCTTTTATTTGTTCAGTATGATAATATGATATTAGTAGTATGATATAGTATGATATGATAATATGTCTTTCTATGTTTCCATATCTAGCAAAGATTTGAAATGCAAAGATATTGACACTTATGACACATCATTCTATAAAGACTGTCAGCTTTTCAGTATTAGACAGCATATAATTATATAAGTTTTATTCTCTAACACATCTCCTCTGGGTGCCTGCACAATTGGATTTTTTGTGACAACTGTGTCCCCCAGGATGAAAAATGAGGAGAGGGCAATCCTCCAAGGTGATTCTTTCTGGGGAGATATTTCTCCAATGTGTGTTTGGCAGTTTGGATACATAGAACAATTATCCTAAAGTTTCATTTCCATCCTTCTGCCCTGACACTAAAGTATTCCATTCTATTCCAGTGGTTTTTTTTCTGAAGCCAAATAACCTTGTAAACAGAATAACAGGAAAAAAAACAGGGTTGGAGAAGAACTTAGAGGTCTTCTAGTCCAACTCACTGCTCAAGTGGAGAGATGAGGTGGCTGTACAATCTCTTCTTAAATGCTTCCAGTGATGGAGCAACCACAACTTCTGGTGGCAAGCTGTTCCACTGGTTATTTGTTCTCACTATTAGGAAGTTTCTCCTTAGTTCTAGGTTGCTCCTCTCCTTAATTAGTTCCCATCCATTGTTTTTTGTCTTGCCTTTTGGTACTTTGAAGAATAGGTTGACCCCTTCTTTGTTCCAACCCTTCAAATATTGGAACACTGTTATGATGTCACCCCTATTCCTTCTTTTCATTAGATTAGCCATACACAATTCATGCAACCATTCTTTGTATGTTTTAGCCTCCAAGTGCCCAATCATCTTAATAATTTCATAATGTGGTAACCAAAACAATTTTGCAGTATGCCAGGTGTGGTCTTACAAATGCTTTATAAAGTGGTACTTCGTGTAATCTTGATTCTAGCCCTTTGTTAATGCAGCCTAGGATTGCATTGGCTCTTAAACAGATTGATGACCTTGGAATTTTCTTACAGTAAATTCTCTGATACCTAGAACAAAACAGTCCTACCTGAAGCTCTTATAGACAATAATCAATCCCCATTGACTAATCCAGGACCTGGGACTCAATAAAGTTGAAGAGTTTTTGCTTGGCTTCAGATTCACTTCCTCTCACTGTGTGTCTTGCACAGTAATAGACTGCTGTATCTTCAGCTTTGAGGCTGTTCATTTGCAGATACAGCTGGCTTTTGGCATTGTCCCTGGAGATGGTGAAGCGGCCCTTGACTTTGTCTGAGTAGTAAGTACTTGAACCAGTAGTTATCAAGGCCACCCATTCCAGTCCTTTCCCTGGAGCCTGTCTCACCCAGTGCATCTCATAGCTGCTGAAGGTGAATCCAGAGGCTTGGCAGGAGAGATGGAGGGATTCCCCAGGTCTTCTCACATCCCCTCCAGACTCCACCAACTGGACTTGAGAGTGGACTCCTAAAAAGAAAGGAGCTTTTTTAAATAGATCTCTTGCATGCAAGAGCAGAACATAGAAATAAACTATATAGTGGCAATAATTACCTTTGAGGACTACAAGTATGGACAGAAGGTTTAACCACATTTTGTTAGTAGATGAAATTGATAGGAGAGGATTCTGGAAATAGCACAAGGTTTATGTTGGTGGGAGTTGTCTGAAAAGGGAAACCATGGGGCTCCTTTAAAGGGGAAATTGTGTCTTGATTTGCATATCTGTTGGGATAAAAGAGCCCCACAGGACATGGATTGATACATTTCAGTGAATATAACTTGCATGTGCATTTTTCAATTAAGAAAAGGATTGGGACACCATTTTTTCCTTGTGAGTTAATGGGGGAAAGGACAAGTTTATTGTATGAAGAAAAATAAAGGCTTGGGGAAAAAATCATATCTTCTCAAAATGATGCAAGGTAATTGAGAATAAACTTATTTATTACCGAGGACATCCATAGGTAGCACAGTGGTCCCCAAACAGTGGGCCAGGGACCACTGGTGGTCTGAGAGAAAATTTCGGTGGTCCACAGAGAAATGTCACCCCTGAAGCACCCCCCAAAGTAATTAATCCAGGCTGCATGGGAATACAATATGCCGCTCACATGGCCCACAGGAACATAAGGCTTGCATCACTTGCATTTCGAACAACATGAGGTAATGAGGGAAAGGGGGAAAGAGCAGAGGGGGAAAATTGCCCCACTTGCCCCACACACCTCACCTGGCCATGGGGCTGCTTCTTTTCACTTCTTTCTTCTTCTGCTTTTGGCTGCATGCAAGGAAAGCAACAAAAGTCTTTCTTTCTCTCCCCCAAACTCCACCAGAAATGAATCTTTGGGACCTTGCAAGGCATCCTGCTCCAAGAGGCTATTCCAGCAAAGATTCATTTCTGGTGAAGTTTGGGGGAGAGAAAGAAAGACTTCTGCTGCTTTCCTTGCATGAAGCCAAAAGTCTCTCTCTCTCTCTCTTTCCCTCTGAGCTGGAGATGATATCCCGCGCCCCAATAAAGAATGATCAATCGGTAGGAAAACAGGTGGGGAGTTTTCCTGCAGACTTTTTGGGGGATCCCAGGGTATTTAAAATAATTTAAAATTATGAGTTTGGTGATACCTGAGGTCCAAAAAGTTGATGACCCCTGGGCTAGCACTTCTGATGTTTGCTACAAAATTACATTTTTAATTTATGGAAAAACTCAAAACATTAAATAGCAGGGAAGCTTCAATATGCTCTGATTTTTGTTCTATAGTCAGACATGGCTTCTTAGTAAGGGATTATAGTCTCTCAAGAAGTTAAATTTTTTTGTGATACATTGAGGCAAACTTTACACTCTCCTGGATTGGTTTATATATTTGTATGCAATTTTTTAAAGCATTTTTTTCATAGCAGCTATGAATAATAATATCATGTCCCTCAATGTTTTCATATCCAGCAAAGACTTGAAATATGCAGATATTTTCTCTGGCGACAAACATTAATTATATATCATTTTATAAAGTTCTCAGCTTCTCGCTGAGCATTATAAATGTGAAATTTTGGAAACAATACTTCCAACCATTCTTCATAAGTTTTACTCTCCAGGTCTTTATCCATCTTAGTTGCTCTTCTCTGCCCTCTTTCCAAAGTCTCCACATCTTTTTTAATAATGTGGTGACCAAAACTGGATGCAGTATTCTAGGTGTGGTCTTACTAAGGCTTTATGAAGCAGTACTTGTACTTCACATGATCTTGATTCTATCCCTCTGTTAATACCACTTAATATTGCATTGGCTTTCATACCAAGTAGGTTAACTTGTAATTTTTCATTTTCTTATAGCAAACTCTCTGCTACCTAGAAAAAAAAAATCAGTCCTGCCTGAAGTTCTTACTAGAAAGTGATCAATCTTCATTGACTAATCTAGGACCTGGGACTCAGTAAAGTTCAAGAGTGAAGAAAGAAATATTTTCATTTGGCTTACTCCTTTTGTGTCTCTTGCACAGTAATAGATTGGTTAGTCTTCTAGTTTCAGGCTATTCATTTGCAGATACAGCTGGTTTTTGGCATTGTCCCTGGAGATGGTGAAGTGTCCTTTCATTTTGTCTGAGTAGGAATTCCTGGAACTAGTGTTTATGTGTGCCACCCATTCCAGTCCTTTTCCAGAGTACTGTGTCACTCAGACCATCTCATAGCTACTGAGGGTAAATCCAGAGATGTTGCAAGAAAGATGGAGGGATTCTCCAGGGCTTCTCAAATCTCCCCCAGACTCCACCAACTTAATTTGAGATTGGGCCCCTAAAATAAAAGTGTTTTTTTTTTTTAAATGGAGACCCAGTGTGTACAAGAGCAGAACATGGAAATAAACTCTATATAGTTGAAATAGTTACCTCCTAGTAAGAACACAAGGTTTAGCCACATTTTTGCTACCTGTAATGAATAGATAGAATTGATAGGAGAGGATTCAGGAAATAGAACCCAGTTTATATTGATGGATGTTGTCTGAAAAAGAAAAGCATGGTTTTCTTTAAAGGGGAAATTGATCCTCAATTTACAAATCTTGTTAATAACCTTTAATGGATCTAGCCAAAATTAACTTTAAAAAATGTTTATAGTCAGAGTAATTCTTTTATTGTAGAAATATAAACTTACATTATGTCTATGTTCTCTCTTAGGTACACCATTCTTTCAGGGGGGAGACGAGAGAGAGGGAGGGAGCAAAACCAAAAAGTAAGTACTTTTTATACCTGGTGGGAGGGGATTGTGCAGTGATGCATCATGGAACTTGTATGCTTAACATGAGGGATGGCAATATCAATGTTTTCTTATGTAATAAAGCAATTTGACATTTTACCTTAACATATCTGTTGGGATAAAAAAAAACCTTAGGGCAGGGGTATCAAACTCATGGCCCAGGGCCCAGATCTTATTTGTGGGATGCTTAGATCTGGCCTGCAGGGCTCTCTGGAAACAGTGAATGACCGGCCCGTGGTGCCAATGCCAGCGAAAACGGAGCTGGGGAAGGCTTCACATGCCTCTTGCAAGCTCTGTTTTTCTGGCAGAGGATTACTGAAGTCCATTGTAGCCAAAAATGGAATTTGGAAGCCCATTTCCCCGGCAGAGCATTCTGGCCTCCACAGGCACCCTGACATGAATGACGTTGAGCTGGCCACACCCACCATGGCCACACCCATCCAAACACAACTCTGATGTGGCCCTCAATGTGATCAAGTTTGACACTTCTGACTTAGGACATTGACTAGTATATTACAGTGAACCTAACTTGCATGTACATTTTGTAATTAACATATGGATACATCTAATTCTCAATGGCATTCTTATGTTCCAGGGATAGAACAAGAAGAAATGAGGGATATACAGACAATTTTGCAGTTTTAGTGAATAGGCCTAAACTGACTTTTTCTTTTATGATAGAATTTATTTTAAATTACTCTATTAAGAGCCATGGTGGTGCAGTGATTAGAATTTAGTATTGCAGAATAATTCTGTCGACTACCAGCAGTTCGATTCTCACCAGCTCAAGGCCTTCTATCCTTCCAAGGTTGATAAAATGAGGATCCAGATTGTTGGGGGAGGGTTTCAATATTTTGGACTCTGTAAACTGCTTAGACAAGGCTGTAAAGCACTATGAGGCAATGTACACATCTAAGTGCTCTTGCTATTATGGCTTGTACTTTCTGGGGTTGTGTGATCCTTCTTTTCCTCTTAAATCTCATGATGTCATGAGATGAATTAGCAAACTTCTAGGTGATTTAGTAGGAAGCATCCCTAGCAGGTGACAACCAGATCTTCTCTATACCCCTTCAACCAAAAGAGGCTCTTCTAGCTAGATGAGATTCTCATTCTCGGTTTACTCAGATTGTGAAGGTCACATGGATATATCATTTAAATATTTTTTCAGTACCAGTGTTGAATTCTTATTATAGGAAAATTGTGGCAGGCATGAAAGACCAAAAACCAATTTATTTATTGCTCAAACCTATGCATAGGAAACTGGTCATGTAACAGTTAGCACTATGTTGGTGCTAGATAGAAGAAAGAAAGGGAATTTAATAACAAAATGATAAAAGAAGAAAAAATATAGGAAATGAATTGATATTTCTCCCTCTAAAGAAAAAACAAACAATTATGTTTAAACTTTTCATTTTTTTTCTACAGCCCTAGAACATCCTGTTTTTCATTTAAAGCAAGAATTTGCAAGCTTATTTCCAAGATCAGCTCAATGAACTTATTTACAAGATCCCATTTAATATGATATAGATTTTCCAGTGGCTGTTTAAGGATGAACAGTCCATAATTACAGTGCAGGTGGCTAGATTCCGTGAACCTTGGAAACACATGTCTAATCCACCAGAGTTGCTATATACAACAAATGTGGCAAACCTGTTGCACTGCTTATACCTTTCCCTTTTAGTATTAAACTTACAATGGGCCACCCAGTTTATGGAATGTAATTTTAGCATAGTTAGACCATCTATAATTGAGAGACTGGATTTTATCAGACTTTAGGTGCATGAAGGGAGGATCATCCAATCTCATTGTACACAGGACAATAAAGGCAATAATAAGTTATTTATTATTTTATATTATGACTGTAATAAACTAAATCAAACTGATATTGATTTATTCAAACCTTCCCAATCCTAGTTTTTTAAAAAGAAATTTCTATAACTGCATAAATTTGAGAGCTACTCAAAGATAGAGAAAGTTCTTGACTAGTTTCAGATTCACTTCCTCTCAATGTGTCTCCCACACAATAATAGACTGCCGTGTCCTCCTGTTTCAGATTGTTCAATTGCAGAAACAGCTGACTGCGGGAATCATCCCTGGAGATGGTGAAGCGGCCCTTGACTTTGGCTGAGTAGCGGATTGGAGATGAGGATGTACCTATTTCTCCAACCCATTCCAGTCCTTTCCCTGGAGCCTGTCTCACCCAGTCCATGTAATAGCTGCTGAAGCTGAATCCAGAGGCTTGGCAGGAAAGACGGAGGGACTCTCCAGGCTTTCTCACATCCCCTCCAGACTCCACCAACTGGACATCAGATTGGACACCTAGAAAGAAAGTTCTTTCAATAAGCTCTCCTTTATACAAGAACAACACATCAAATTATCCTTAATAGGGGCAAGACAGTTACCTAAACAGCAAGTTTAGGCACAAAATCATATTTGCTTCCTTGTAAGGAATGGAACAGAATTGATAGAAAAAAATAGGGGAACAATGCACAAAGTTTGTGTTGGTGAATGAAGCCTGAAATGGAAAATCAACTGGCTACTTTAAAGGGGAAATTACACCTCAATTTACATATTGGTTGAGATAAAAGAGCTCCTCGGTACAATGATGTTCTAGTTTTCATTGCCTACACCCTACAGGGTTGATTTTCACATAATATTCCAGCCCAAAGAAAAGAAAAGGCAGTCTTTATATTAGAGTAATTAAAACAAAGACTTGCAAAATTTCAGCATTTCTAAAAAGTGGTTCAAAATGAAGGTAACAGGTGATGAATACACACTAAGAATTTTTGAAAGATACATGTTAGAGGTAGAACAGGAAAAGTACAGCATATCTGAGTTCAAGAAAGATGTTGCAACTTTTCTCTGCTTTGAAGATACCCAAATGAACTGAATGCAGACCAAGATCATTTTCATTCTGGTTTTTATTTCTTAAATGTCTATAGCTTCCCATCTCAATCAATGACTCTGGGCAGCGGACAATCCCCTATTTTGCTATTTTGTGTGTTGTTCAGATCATTTGTGAGTTGCTTAGGATTGATTCGGCAATACGGGCAGCCATATAACTTGAAATAATAATAATAGTAATAACTCCATTAAAAAAGTCCTTTCATTTTATTTGCATTTTAATCAAAGATTTGAAATACCCTTGTACATTCCAGACCATTTCCCTGGGGACAACACCAACCATTTTATGAAAATCCTCAGCTTTGTGGTCAAGACCGAAGATCCTGAGATGTGAAATTTTCTTGAGTGACATTCAGTGAACTATGACAAAAATAAAATAAAAAATTGTCTAATAATGCTTGTTTTATTCTCTACCCCACCCCCGCTGGGTGCATAGGGTTTGATGTGACAACATTGCCCTCCAGTGTCAAAAGTGAGGTGAGGACACATCTTCCTAATTCTCTGATGAGTTTCTTTTGGTCTAGATTTTTCCTCAATATCTGTATGGCAGTTTGGGTATTTAGAAAGATCACACTCCTGTTTTATTACTTATCTTATGCCATATTAGTAAAGAAGAATATTCCATTCTAGTTTTTTTTCCTGAAACCAGATCACCTGACAAATAAGGAAGTTGAAACTGGAATTTTCAAGACAATTTCATCATTCTTCATTTTTTTCTGACAAAGTCTCTAACTGGATTCCTAGAACAAATAATATATAAAGTTCTCAATAGATGGTGATCCATCCTTATTGATTAAACCAGGATCCATGGTTGTATCAAGTTTGCAGAGTGGCTCTGAGGAAAGGAAAGTTTTTGTTTGGCTTCAGATTCACTTCCTCTCACTGTGTGTCTTGCACAATAATAAACAGCTGTGTCCTCCCATTTCAGATTGTACATTTGCAGATACAGCTGACTGAGGGAATCTTCCCTGGAGTGGGTGAAGCATCCCTTGACTTTGCTGAGTAGTGGATTGGAGTTGAGGTTGTACCTACATCTCCAATCCATTCCGGTGCTTTCCCTGGAGCCTGTCTCACCCAGGTCATCCAGTAGTTGCTGAAGGTGAATCCAGAGGCTTGGCAAGAGAGACGGAGGGACTCTCCAGGTCTTCTCATATCCCCTCCAGACACCACCAACTGGGCCTCAGATTGGACACCTAGAAATAAATTTCTTTTAATAAGCTCTCTGTTATACAAGAACAACACATTGAATGATTCTGAATAGGGGCAAGACAGTTACCTTGGAGGACTGCTAGTAAGGACAGCAAGTTTAGGCACAAAATCATATTTGCACTCTTGTAAGGAATGGAAGAGAATTGATAGGAAAGAATATGGGGACAGTGCACAAACTTTGTTTTGGTGGGTGTAGCCTGAAATGGGAAATCAACTGGCTACCTTAAAGGGGAAATAATACCTCAATTTACATCTTGGTTGAGATAAAACAGCTCATTGGTTGATTTTTCACATAATATGCCAGCCCCAAGAAAAGTGAAGGCTACCTTTATATTAGAGTTATGAAAACAAAGGCTTGTAAAATTTCAGCATTTCTAAAAAGTGGTTCAAAATGAAAGTAACAGGTGGTGAATACACGCTAAGAATTTTTGAAAGATATATGTTAGAGATAGAATAGGAAATGTACAGCATATCTGAGTTCAAGAAAGATTTTGCAACTTTTCTCTCCTTTGAAGAAACCCAAAGGAACTGAATGCAGACCAAGATAATTTTCCTTTTAGTTTTTATTTCTTAATTAAATATCTATAGCAATGGTGTCAAACTAAAGGCCCAGGGACCAGATCCGGCCTGTTGGGTGCTTTGATCTGGACCATGGGGTTTCCCTAGAAATAGCAAAGGACCGGCCTGTGATGCCTCTGGAGGCTGTTGCAGCCAAAAATGGAGCTCACAAGGGCTACATAGGGACTTCCCGAGCTCCATTTTTGTGGGCAGAGAACTGCAGGAGGCTGTTGCAGCCTAAAACAGAGCTCAGGAGCCCATTTTCACTGGCAGAGCACTTGGGCCACCACAAGCACCCCTGACACAAGTGACATGGGCCCAACAAGCATAGGGGCCCCATACTAATCTGTATATGTTAACCCTTCAGTGCACCTTGTATCATATAAATACAGCTTACTCAGTGGTGGGATTTAATTTTTTTTACTACCAGTTCTGTGGGCGTAGCTTGGTGGGCATGGCAGGGGAAGGATACTGTAAAATCTCCAGTCAGAGGTGGTATTAGTTCTCCAAACCAATCAAAATTTCCACTACCAGTTCTCTAGAACTGCTCAGAACTCACTGAATACCACCTCTGAGCCTACTGAGTATTGTTGTGTTTTTCAAGCCTCGTGTATTGTTCAAATGTTTATCATGTTTATTAATTGTTGCTGCACAACATGTTTTTAATGTTTCAATACCAATTTTGTTGGAAGTGCCAATAAAATAAATATATGTTTAATTTTTTCAACTATTTATATTTTTATTCCTGAGAGTAGTTGTCGTAGGGGCCTTAGTTTAAAGCTTTTCCTGGAGCCCATAATGCTGTTAAGACGGCCCTTATGATACTAAAGAAAAATATTCCATTCCAGGTTTTTTCCTGAAGGCAGATCACCCGGTAAATAAGGAAGCTAAAATTGAAATTTTCAAGCCAATTTCATCATTCTTCATTTTTTTCTGGCAAAGTGTCTAACTGGGTTCCTAGAATAAATAATTTCTAAAGTTCTCAATAGATGGTGATCCACCCTTATTGACTAAACCAGGATCCATGGTTGAATCAAGTTTTCAGAGTGGCTCTGAGGAAAGGAAGGTTTTTGTTTGGCTTCAGAATCACTTCCTCTCACTCTGTGTCTCACACAGTAACAGACTGCCATGTCTTCAGGTTTAAGGTTATTCATTTGCAGATATAGCTGGCTTTTAGCATCATCCCTGGAGGTGGTGAAGCAACCTTTCACTTTGTCTGAGTAGTAAATGCTTGTTGAATTTGGATGTATCTCTGAAACCCTTTCCCGTCTTTTCCTGAGTACTGTCTCACCCAAACTATCTCAAAGCTGCTGAAGGTAAATCCAGAGTAGAGGTGGTATTCAGCAGGTTCTGACCAGTTTTGGAGAACTGGTAGCAGAAATTTTGAGTAGTTCAGAGAACTGGCAAATCCCACCTGTGGGATTTGGCCTCTTCCCCATCTATTCTCTACCTCCCGAGTCCCAGCTGATTGGCTGGGTCTTCTTTGATTGCCCTGCACAGGAGAATGGAGCTGGAAAGCAGGTTAGTGGGGTAGAGAGGGAATGGGATTTTGCAGTAACCTTCCCCTGCCATGCCCAGCAAGCCACGCCCACAGAACTGGTAATAAATTTATTGAAACCCATCACTGATCCAGAGGCTTGGCAGGAAAGTTGGAGAGACTCTCCAGGCCTTCTCACATCCCCTCCAGACTCCACCAATTGATCCTCTGACTGGACACCTAGAAAGAAAGATGTTTCACTGATATCTCCTATATACAACAACAGCACATAGAAAAAGGGAAATGCTATACAGAGGAAAGCCTTACTTCCAATGACTCCTAGTAAGAACACCAACTTTGGCCATAGACTCATTTTTGCTCCGTATAATGAATGCAGGGAAATTGATAGGAAAGTGCACAAATTTTGTGTTAATGGGTATTGCCTTAAAAGGTAAACCTTCTGGCTTCTTTAATGGGGAATTTTTGCCCTGATTTACATGTTGCTTTGGATAAAAGAACCCCTCGAGACATTCAGTTGTACATTCCTTTACACATCGCAAGCATGATTTTTAAATCATGCTACACACATGCACACAAAAATAGACAGAAAAGACAGATACACACTGACAGAGAGAGTCAACACAATCATGATTTGTTATTATGGTTCTTCCCATAGCGAGCCAGATATTTAAACTCAATTTGGCACTTTTTTCCAACTATCCTTTTAAGATAAAAGGGAAGTTTGCACTCAGTAAGTAACAACTTTAGGGCTAGGAATACTCTTTATTGGTCAAATGTGATTGGACATACAGGGAATTTGTCTTCAGTGAATAAGCTCTCAGTGTAACTATACACAACAAAGTGATAAATCATAGATCATAACTCATAAGATACAATCATAAATCATAAGACATGAACAACAAGTGATAAATTATAAGTTACCAATAGGAGAAGGTAGTAGGAAAGATGAGAAAGAGGGATAATAGCAATATGGCCCTACTAGAAGAGGGATAATAGCAACACGGCCCTACTACACAAATAAATATTCTGAGGCATAAGACAGTGCTGTGGGACAGTGCTTGTCATAAGACAGATTGATGGCATGGGTTAAAAAAACTATCTTTGTGTCTAGTTGTTTTGGCATGCAATGCCCTACAGCAGCATTCGGAAGGCAGGAGTTGACACACTTTATGTCTGGAATGTGGACATTTTCCCAGATATTTTCCCAGCCCTTCTTTGTGATCAGTGCAGTATGCAGGCCCTCAATGGAAGTAAGGCTAGTTGCAATTATTTTTTCTCCAGTCCTAACTATTTGTGAATAGGCCTAAACTGTTCTTTTGCTTTGTGATATTAGTTTTGGAGAGTTGATTTATTTAGGTTGAATTTCCTGGGATGCTAGGATTCTCATATTTCCTTTTTGTTGTTAATCAATAAAAGTACTAAGCCCAAATGCAAAGCGGGTTTTGAAAGCCTGCACACCTGATTGGTCCTTAAACAACGAACAAGGATTGGTCCATAACTAGTCCCTGATTGGCCCATATTAGGACACTTCTTATTGGGTATTAGTTGAACTTGTTGCACATATTATTGGTTAATAAGGTAGCAGCCAACCCTATAAAAGGGTTACTGCTGCCCATAGCCTTGCTCTGTTCTGTTCTATTTACTATTATTAAAGAGTTGAAGTCACTGGTCAGATGTCTGGTCTCCATTATTCTCCAAACTTAACACTGGCAACGAAGGTGGTATACGGAGACCGAAGAGCTGACTGATCTACAGAGCAACCAACAAAGCACGTGGTCGAACACGTACTATCAACGGCAATATGGCCAGCGGTGCCGTACCACCCGCTCCATTCGACCCAGAAACCGAAGACTGGGAGTCGTACATGGATAGGTTCCAGATGTTTCTGGAGACCAACAACTTGAAAGATGCAACAGCCAGCAAAAAAAAAAAAAGAGCTGTATTTCTAACCCACTGCGGGCCTACCATGTTTAAAATGGCAAAATCCCTTGCCAAGCCAGCCGAAGTAAAAGCGATGGACTGGGACGTCCTCGAGCCTTTGCTACGGGCCCACTACGCGCCTACCGTGCCAACCTTAGTCAGAAGGCACGAATATTACCAGAGGGTCCAGCGGAAAGGCGAAAGCCTTGCCAACTACGTCGCAGACCTCCGCAACCTTGGAGGCCTCTGCGGATTCTCTAACTTAGAAGAAGCCCTCCGAGACCGCCTAGTTCTGGGCCTAGAAGACTGCACGATCCAGAGCAAAATCATGGCTAAGGGGGACATCAGCCTCACCGATGCCCTTAAAGAAGCCACTGCAGCAGAGGCAACCAAGAAGTCGGCAGCCTGAATGCGCCGCACCAGCGCACCGCTAGTCAACTCGCCAATGATACCTCGCCTCGCTCAGAGAGACACCCGGTATCGACTCACCACGAAGACCTAGAATCTCCGTCAGAAAGTGATGAGGAAGAGGTCAACCGACTCCGAACGGAACGAGACCAGTTCACACAACGCTCACTTCGACCTTGTGCAGGATGTGGAGCGAATCACCCACGATCCAGCTGCAAATTCCTCGACGCACTCTGCCGCGTTTGCGGGAAAAGAGGTCACATCGCAAAGGTTTGCAGAAGCAAACAAAACTCCAACTCCAAACCCCGACAGGCCGAATGCCAGTCTTCAGGATTCATCGGCACACCCCGAGACAAACTGAATCACCAATGGGGAAGCCACTCCTACAGAAACAAACCGTCCACCACGTCCACCAGGCGAGAAGAAACCAGGCAGGAAGAGACCCACCAGACAATTACCATAGGCCACGCTACATCCCTAGATGCCGGGAAAATCAGAGTGAAGGTCGCTATCGAAAACAAACCTTGTGTAATGGAGGTGGACTCAGGATCATCCCTCTTGATGGTGTCATGGAAGACGCTCCAACAGCTCGTTCCGACAATTCGCCGCCAAGACCTCAACCCTCAAAGGGTTATACTCAAAGATTACCAGGGTAACCGAATTCCCGTTGTTGGGTCCCACCGATTCCAGGTCTCTTTCAAGGACCGCACCGTCGCACTGCCACTGACTGTCGTTGACCGTGACCGGCCTAGTCTTTTAGGCCTGCAATGGTTCAAACCGCTCGGAATCACTGTAGCTGGAGTCCACCGTGCCGA